AACTAATGGACCCTGGGATGCCCAGGATTAAGTTCAAAGTTGGGAGATCCAGTAACGAGACCAAAATATTGAGAACAGCATTGAGAACAGCTGAAGCGCTGAAGCCCGAGCCCGAGATGGGGAGATCAAAAAAAAAACAAGACCATCTTTATGAACTTGAACGACAATGACTCAATCAGAGACCACGCCAAGAGCAGGAACATAGTGGAGACATGGCTGTGCTGCCGCCTTTGTTCTTATTTACAGCCCTTGTCTTCTCCTCCTCCGCACTCGTTGCAGACACGCCGCTTGTCGTCTTCCCCCGACAGTAAAAAGTCGTCCATTCGTTCTCTGACTCCCACCATCATGCTCTCCACATTCGCTGTCCTCCTCGCCACAGCTGCTGCCGCCCAATCCACTCCTGTCCAAGTTTCTGCACGACAACCTTTTGAGAATTTGCCCCGCAAAATTGCAGGAGCAAGTCCAGTCATAAGTAGGGAAATCAGATATGGTGTACGGTTACATTGCCTCTATCGATAACTGGTAGTTTTTCAACCCATTTGTCAGAGGCAGTCCGGGGTTCGACTCCCTGTGTCTGAGTTTCTGGGTTTCCTGCATTTTTATTTCTTTTTCAGACTCGCCTCAAAAAATCCTTGAGCTCCCGGATACGAGATGAATTGGTGCATGCTGCACCTCCATCCATGAACGGCTGTGGGAACTCGGGTTCAATGTTCAACTTCAAGTTGAAGTTGAAGTTGAACTGCCACATCCGACTCAGAATGAGCCGCGGGCTTTCCAACGTCCCTCGAAATGGCATGCTTCAACATGTACAGACCGGGACCCAGATAGACAAGAAATTGGTATACTGCATCCTTGGCCCAGAACTAATTGTCGGAGGCAGTCCAGGGTTCAACTCCCTGTAAGTATCCGAATGGATAGGTGGCAGTGGTTATTATATTGTTTCTTCTTCTTCTTGTCTTCTATAACCATCTCAGACAATTCCACACCCACCACAGTTCCGAGGTAGACAGGAAATCGGACCTTGTGTAGGGTACACTGCCTCGATTCTTTCCAATGAACCGACGTCGGAGGCAGCTCGGGGTTCGACTCCCTGTGTCCGAATGAGGAGCACCGTTGCTTTTTTCTTTCTCAATTTGGCTGCAAGAAAACACACTCGTAATAGGGGTTCCTAGGTAACGAGAAATCGGACATCGCACAGCTTATCCTTTTGGTTGACGTTCACAGGGCAGCTCGAGACTCGGGGCTCCGGTGCCATCCGAATCAGTACACACAAAACCGTTTGAGAATTTGCCCCACAATGTGCAGGCAGACACAGTTCCAGTCATAGTAAGGAAATCAGACATGGTGTACGGTTACACCACCTCTATCAATACAATATTTGTGACCCATTTGTCGGAGGCAGTTCGGGGTTCGACTCCCTGTGTCTGAATGTCCCGACCGGTTTCTTATTTTCTTGCTTTTTGCATGGCCATCCATTCTTGAAGCGGTTGTGGGCCGGAGGTAGCTCGGGTTCAATGTTCAACTTCGGAAACGGTTGAAGTTGAACTTCTCACGTCCGACTCAGAATAAGCTGCGCTTCCAACCTCCCACGAAATTGCATGCTTTGGGCCGGGACCCAGATAGACATTCACTCGGGCTTGGTGTACTCCTTTGATTCTTTGTCTAGAGCCAATCATCGGAGGCAGGCCGGGGCTCGACTCCCCGGAATCAAATGTGAAAACTGGAACTTTTCATTTTTCTTTGATCGTCTCAGAAATCCTACACCCACTACAGTGCGGAGGGTAGACAAAAAAATCGGACATTGTGTAGGGTACGCCACCTCTATTCGTGAGATGGAACACCCCAATCGGAGGCAGTCCAGGGTTCGATTCCCTGGGTCCAAAAAGGCAAGATTGTGGGTCGTTTTTTTCTCAACTCAGCTGCAAGAAAACACGCACAGGCACATGTGCAGTTCCGAGTCAGAGAAAGAATCGGACCGGACATTGAACACCCAGTCTGTCGGTTGAAGTTCATATTATTATAAGACAGCCCGACCACAAGTTCGTCCAACTTCTGCGACGTCGGAATCAGCGCACACGGAAACCGTTTGAGAATTTACCCCGCAAAAAGTGGATATATAGGCTGGTCCAGTCTATGTAAGGCAATCAGACATGGTGTACGGTTACACCGCCTCTATCCATATAAGTTGTTGATCCATCTGTCGGAGGCAGTCCGGGGTTCGACTCCCTGTGTCTGAATGGTAGATCTTGTAAGTTTTTCTTTCTATTTCAGACTTGCCTCAAGAAATCCTCGTGCTCCCGGATATAAGATGAATTGGTGCCTGGCGCGCCTCCATTCCTGAACGGTTCACGTGGGAGCTCGGGTTCAATGTTCGACTTCAAGGTGCAGTTGATGTTGAATTACGTACTTGCCGTCTGACTCGGAACGAGCTGCGCGCTTCCAACCGCCCACGAAATTGCATGCTTCAACAGACCGGGACCCAGATAGACACTCACTCGGGCTTGGTGTACTCCTTTGATCCCGGGGTTCGGCTCCCCGGAATCGAATGTGAACACTGGATCTTTTCATTTTTCTTTAATCGTCTCAGAAATCCTACACCCACTACAGTGCGGAGGTAGACAAAAAATCGGACATTGTGTAGGGTACGCCACCTCTATTCATGAGATGGAACACCCCAATCGGAGGCAGTCCAGGGTTCGATTCCCTGGGTCCGAATAAGGTAAGATTGTGGGTCGTTTTTTCTCAACTCAGCAGCAGGAAAACACGCACATGTGCAGTTCCGAGTCAGACAAAGAATCGGACCGGACATTAATTGAACATCCCAGTTTGTCGGTTAAGGTTCATATTATTATAAGACAGCTCGATCACAAGTTCGTCCAACTTCTGCGACGTCGGAATCAGCGCACATGAAAACCGTTTGAGAATTTACCCCGCAAAAGTGGATATATAGGCTGGTCCAGTTCTATGTAAGGCAATCAGACATGGTGTACGGTTACACCGCCTCTATTGGTATCCGTGATGATTCTTGATCCATTTGTGGGAGGCAGTCCGGGGTTCGACTCCCCGTGTCTGAGTTGGTGGACTTTCCTGGAATTTTCTTTCTTTTTCAGACTCGCCCCAAGAAATCCTCGAGCTCCCGGATACAAGATGAATTGGTGCCTGGCGCACCTCCATTGAGTCCTGAACGGTTCACGCGGGAGCTCGGGTTCAATAAATGTTCGACTTCAAGTTGAGGTTGAACTTGCCGTCTGACTCGGAATGAGCTACGTGCTTCCAACCGCCCACGAAATTAATATTGCATGCCTCAACAGACCGAGACCCAGATAGATGACAATCAATCGGGCTTGGTGCACTCCTCTGATCCTTTGTCTAGAACTAATTGTCAGAGGCAGTCCAAGGTTCAACTCCCTGTGTCCGAATGGGATGGGTCGCAGTGGTTATCATTTTAAATTTTTCTTCTTCTTCTTCTTCTTGTCTTTTTCAGCCGCCCCAGAAAATCCTACACCCACTATAGTTCTGAGGTAGACAGGAAATCGGACATGGTGTAGGGTACGCCGCCTCTTTCCTTACATGTTTCCATGCGTAGTCGCAAAGTCGGAGGTAGTTCGGGGTTCGACTCCCTGTGTTCGAATGATCAAATCAGGGTGGGGTAGTTTTTTTCTCTCTCTCTCTCTCTCTACTTGGCTGCAGGAAAACACACACTGTATTAGCGGTTCCGGGGTAACGAGAAATGGGACATCGCACAGCTTATCTTGTTGGTTGACGTTCAGCGAGGTAGCTCGAGAATCACTGCACACCAAAACTTTGGAGAATTTGTCTTGCAAAGCGCGTGCAGGATCAGCGCATTTGAGAATTTGCTGAAAAAAGTGCGTGCGTGAACACAGTAAATCCTTGAATCGAAAAGTGCACGGCGTGCCTGTGAGCTTCACAAACTCTGTGAACCTCGTGAACTTCCTTATTTGGCAGGGTCTGGCTTCAAAGACATGCGCCCTCTCGACGTGCGCTACCCTCGGCATCGGCGGCAGAAAAAACATTAACCCCATTTTATTAACTAATTCTACTGGGTATACCGTACCCGTACCATTGTCTGCGACGACGGGCAGCCCACCCGCCTGCGACAACATGACATTGCTATCTGGTAGGGAACCGAGAGTGCACGGGAACTGCGAGATACAGTGGGCTGCGCCGGCGCGCCGGCGGCGCGCGGGGACAACGCAAAGATCAAGGACCATGGGTGTACCAGCAAGCTTGCCGGTAAGCGGGCCTGCCTTGTCCACGCGTGATGCTGGCGTTGTGACGGCGGCCGCGCTCAACGTCAAGGCGAGGGGGTCGCGGACGTCGGATGGCGGTCGGATAGGGCGTTGTGAGCGTTGTATTTATAGCCAAATCCTGTCGACTCCGAGCATTTATCTGGGGACGGGGTCGGGCACAGAAGACGGTAGCAGGTATTTCCCTGTGTGGGCAGCATTTTTGAGCTAGGCGGGAGTGGCGAAGAGCAATAAACACGGCGGGATGGTGGACGGGATGAAGAGGCGGGTGTGGCTATGGCGACCAAACACTCAGCAGTTGACGGACTTCACCCATCACTTCACGCAGTTCACGTACTTCACGTAGTTCACGGCGAACTTCGTGAACTTTCTGATATACGTATGTTCTCCGTGAACAGGTCCAGTCGTATGTAGAGAAATCGGACATTGTGTAGGGTACACCGCCTCTATCCTTAAGTTGGATGCGTAAAGTCGGAGGGTAGTTCAGGGTTCGACTCCCTGTGTGCGAATAAGGACCTAGCAAGTCACCTTTTTTCTCAACTTGGCTGCAGGAAAACGCGCACACCTGTAGCCAACCGGTAGCAGATCCGAGGACGGGGGATCGGACATAGTGCACATTGAGCATCTCGACTTGTCGTACAGGCTGGCTGAGGTTTGTTCCGCGACACAAGCGTTCGAGAATTTGTCCCGGAAAAACGCGTACACGGGCAGGTCCAGTCCTGGGTAGAGAAATCAGACATGGTGTACGGTTACACCGCCTCGGTCCTTAAGGATGCAACTTGAACAAACTAGTCGGAGGCAGTCCGGGGTTCGACTCCCTGTGTCTGAATGTGGCATCCGCAGTTTTTTTATAGCGGATTCTCAGAGTCCGCGCACGGCAAAGATGAGCTCGAGGCCGAGTATTCCCCCGCCATGAGCGAACCTGGGCGGAGGTGCTCTGTCCACCAGTGCGGACAAGCGGTTTCAGTTGAGTTCTTGAACTACTGGGGTCTGAAGAATTGTGGTCGGCAACGGCAATTGGCATGGCTGTCCTCAGAACCAGAAGGCTCTCGACTATCATTCCGGTACAATTTCCATTCGTCGTAGAGGTGCCAAGTTGGCACGTAGGGTCAAGAAACTCTTGGCTCATAGAAACTAATGGACCCTGGGATGCCCAGGGTTAAGTTCAAAGTTGGGAGATCTAGTAACGACTCCGAGACGAGACCAAAATATTGAGAACAGCATTGAGAACAGTTGAAGCGCTGAAGCGCAGCTGAAGCCCGAACCCCGAGATCAAAAAAAAAAAAAACCATCTTCTATGAACTTGAACGGCAATGACTCAATTAGAGAACACGCCAAGAGCAAGGATGGACATGTAGGAGACGCGAATCAGGAACAGTGGAGACGTGGCTGTGCTTAGGCCTTTGTTCTTATTTACACCCCTTGTCTTCTCCTCCTCCGCACTCGTTGCAGACACGCCGCTTGTCGTCTTCCCCCGACAGTAAAAAGTCGTCCATTCGTTCTCCGACTCCCACCATCATGTTCTCCACATTCGCTGTTCTCCTCGCCACAGCCGCTGCAGCCCAAGCAGTCAGCCCCTTTCAATCTCCCTTTACCTGTTGCTCATTCGGTTTCTAGGCCTCGTCGTCGGCCTCTGCGGCTGCTGCATCCTCCACAGCCAACCCCTACATCCCCGCCGGCATCAGCGACGCTTGCTCGACCTACCTTGAGGGGCTCAATACCGATAAGGATCTCGCCCACATGCACGTCGTCCATACGCTCCGCGACGGCTGGCTTTGCGCCTGGAGGGAACCTGACCAACGCAAGCAAGCAGCAGGTCACCGACACCCTCACCACCATCTGCGCCTCATCCTTCACTGCCTCGTGCCCCCAGAACCTCATCACCGGCAAGCTCGCCTCGTTCCAAACCGCGTGTAGCGCCGAGCTGGTGACCGCGCCCAACAAACAGGTCAAGGTCATCTACGACACATTCTACACCCTGCTCCCCTTCCTGTCCGCCCTCTGCACCAAGGACAACAGCGGCGCCTGGTGCGTGCCGCAGGCCAACTCCACCGCGTCCTCCGCCCTTGCCCCCAACGTCGCGACCACGCTCGGCCGCCGTGGCGACACCACCGCGTACCTCCCCAACGCCGACACCCTCGGGAAGAACAACGTGCTCTTCCTCCTCTTGCAGGGCACGCTCGCGAAGGACCAGCTCTGCACCGACTGCACCGCCGCGGTGCTCAAGGCGTACATGCTCTTCGAGGCGAGCACGAACTACGCGCCGGGGCTCGCGCAGAGCCCGCTCCTTATCGGCCAGCCGACGCTGTACAGCTCGGTCATCAGCCCCGACATGTGCGGCCCGGACTTCCTGAAGAGCGAGGTCAAGGCCGCGGGGAGCCTGGGACAGGGCTCGGGCTCGAGCGGCGCACTGCCCGCCGTGCGCGCGGGGGGCGTGCTCGCCCTGCTTGCCGCCGGTGCTGGCGCCTTCCTCCTCCTCCTCTAGGCACAGGACGATCGCCCCTTTTCTCTCGCTCTTTCCCCCCGCCTCGCATACCTATTCATTCGTATATTCTCCCCATCCCCTTCGAGTCCCCGGTGATGCCACGCTATAGATATCATTCGTCTATCCGTCTATCTATGTGTTCTTGTTTCTTTTTTCTGGCTCGTCTGGTCAGATACGTAGATACACCACACCACACCACACGTCACCTAGCCTAGCAGTGCTAGCAGCAGCTAATGGATTTGATTTGATAGCCCTCAGCAGCTACGCTAAAATTCACTGGGGACCGTATGCTCGTGTTTGGCTGCATCATCTGATCCCGCAAAATGAGGTGTGCATTCGCGTGGATTTCTGTGCTAGCCAGCTCCTACACGTCTATCCCGGCTTGACATCGGGATTCTAATGTTTTCCAATGAATCCCGAAGATCCGTATAATCATTGGATTCCGAATGGAAACTTGGCAAATCCACTGGTTTCCATCAAATCCTCTGAACTTCGAGTGGAAATGATGCATCAATGTGTCGCAAAAGTCCTTTTTGGGAGATAAGTCGGTATAGGCCAGTATAAGCCGGTATAAGCCTGTAAGGTTTTTGGGGGGCCTATACATTTGATTATGGCGCTATCCTGACTTATAAGTACTTATGGAACTTATAACAGTTTATAACACCTTATAGCCCCTTACATTCGGCTGCCAGAAAAGCCAATACAGCTCCTTCCCATTTTATTCAGATCCGATCCTTCAGGTTGCCAAAAGAAATGAAAACAGATATTTATTCACAATTTAAACTACAATGCAGAGCATACCACTCCGTATTTTACGCGCTAAACTCTAACTGGTCACACATCAACGTTATAAGAGATAGACATTGACATACCACCAGTGACGCGAGGTAGGACAAGTGGCGCACGATGCAAGGCCAGCATCATGAAGGTACTGAGAAGAAATGAAGGGATGAGGAGACTCACCTGAGAGCTGCGGGCTGATCTATATGGTTGCAAAGTCAGCTAGCTATTAGGAAAAGGAACATTGGAATGCACCAGAGATAAGACGGTGGACCAGAAGATTATTGGCTGGTTGACGAGGTACATATGTGAGGGAAGGGAAGCTCACCTAAGGAGTGTTGGCGAGGTGTGCAGGAGAACTGGTGTTCTGATGCTTCAAGATCAGACGGCTGTCGGCAAGATGGGAGTAGCGACACACCAGTGCTCCTGGGGATATGGGGGACGAGAGACTGGGGAAGCGAACGAGACGGCGGTGTGGCGAGTGGTGGTGGTGGTTGAGAGGAAAGAGATGGAGTCACAGAGTCGCAGCTCCAGTGACTTATATTGCAGCAACATGACGTCACTTTGCTCCACACGGCGGCTGTACTATGCCAGATATACGCTGCTTCGACACCCACGTCTGAGCCTGAGAGAGAAACGTGAGAGGAGGCACCGCTGGTGAAATCATACCCAAAAAGCCACCTCAGTCGTGTTTGGTAAGGTGTAGTATGGCTTCGGAGCTCAGAAGGTTATACCCCCTTATAAGTTCTTATACTTCGGTTATAAGTTGCGTATAACTCGGCTGTAACCCGTCTATAAGGCGGCTATAAGCCTGTCACCTTCCCTAACCCCTTATAACCCAAAAGGCCCTTTTGCGACATGCCGGCCATATCAGCTGATGCCATCTGAGTCCATCGGAATCCAATGAATATACGCCCCATAGAATCCCGATGTCAGCCGGGATAGCAGTGTAGGACTGAATCGGACAAAGAGAAGTATTATGTAACTTACGTAGCAAGGTATGCTGAAAGATGCGCCATTTTTGCCATTGGTCCGGAAAATGCCGGGACCAATGGCAAAAATGACGCATCTTTCAGCATGCCTTTCTAAGTTAATACTTCTCTTTGTCCAGTGTGCATGGTTCAGGGCCTGAAGTACGGTGCGACCTATACAAAGGTCCGCGTTGTCGGGTGAGGCGGCAAGACGCCGTCGTGCCAAACACGAGCATACGGTGCCCAGTGCATTTCGCCGATTGCGCCCCAGTAAGCCGTAATACTAAGAATGCCAAGATGTGGAGCAGGGGACAGCTGACGGCGATGCACGCCAAGCGCGGGTATGTGATGATGACATACTTACATGACAGGCGAACTCCTACATATCCTATTTGGGATTCGCCCCCTAAGTATTAGACGGCCCCTAAGTCGTTCGATCCAAGCCAAGGTGAGGCCAAGGTGAGGCCTTAGAAGTGTGCGCCGGGTGCCAAGGCTCGACGGGAACGAGATGGGCGGTGGATGTCGATTGTCGATTGTCGATCAACCTGTCTGTCGGTCGAGACCCAACGCGACGCGACGCTTCGTTGTTCGATCGACGTGAGGAAGTCCGATGGGGGTGGAGGGAAGGCGGAGGCGAGAAAACGGAGAGGGATCTGTATTCCGAGTCGTAGCTGTTACATACATGAGCCTGGGAGTTTGAAGGGAAGATCTAGACGCAGGTAGGCAGGCAGGCTGCGCTGAAAATGCTGCAAAGTATGTATACAAAAGGAATCAACGTAGGGTCTTCCTGCCGGCCCTGCGAGGTTATCCCGGGTGCCTTGCCCATTGGAATCCCATTCCACAGCCGGGAATCTGGATTCTTTGAAACGGATGCTGCTGGCCATGGGTTCCTCCAGCCGGGTGAGAGAGTAGATTGGGGGTCCCGACAGCGCGAGTACGGTACTTGATACGTACAACCCAATCACCCGACTTGTGGATTGGGGATGATCATAATAGAAGAAAAAAATGATATCAAGCACGGCCACTCAGACACGGAACCCCGGGCTGCCTCCGAACAATCCCAACGGTAGTCCAATAATAGAGGCGGTGTGCCGCACACCGTGTCTGATTTCTTGGGCGTATTTGGGAGCTGTTGTGTGGTATGTCGGTGTGTTCTATTTGAAAAAGGCCTAGGTAGGTCGAAAAAAGCGATCGGGATGGGCATTCAGACAGAGGCAGTCGAACCCCGCTCAGAGCCGGTGCCTTGCCCATTGGAATCCCACTCCGGTGACTCCACACCCTAGAATCTGGATTCTCATGCTGCTGGCCATGGGTTCCTCCAGGCGCCGGGTGAGAGAGTAGATTGGGGGTCCCGGACAGCGCGAGCACGGTACTTGATACGTACAACCCACCCGACTCGTGGATTGGAGGTGGACACGGGGAGTCGAACCCCGAGCTGCCTCAGGACGATCGAAACGGTAGTCCAATGATAGAGGCGGTGTGCCGCACACCATGTCTGATTCCTGCTATGTATTTGGGGCTGGTACTATAAGTAGGTCAAGACGATCCGGGTGTGGGAGCTATCGACCGGGCGCTGCATGAAGACCGTCGAGG